GCCATTCAATAAGTTGAGGTTTTTTTTTTTCTACCAATTTATTGGAAGTATTTGAGACAGCACCTAGTCACTAGCATTTTCAGTGAAATCATGTAACTACCAAAGGTAAGATCCTTTTCTAAATAGAAATCTGAATGTAAGTTCGAGCTCCCTCTAAAGTAAATCATGAGGCCTAGAATGGGACCATATCTATATAGATATTTGAATTTTTGTGTGTACTACATTTTGTTTAGTATACATGCTAATCAGGGCGCGAGACTATAACTAGTGAACATATCGCCAGGGGTGGGAAAAGTGAAACAAAAGGTTGTCAATGAACTCAATAAAAATACGATGAATTTTCAAAAGATTATTGTTTGCTCTCATGATCTGTTTTTCTGCTATAACTGTTGAGAACTACTACAGAATCATGTCAACATGCTGAAAGAAAACATAATTTCTTTTATTGAGCTGTATCAAATCTTGATTCATCAAAACACTAAAGAAAATTTGATGAAGCTGCTTTGAAGTATAGTAATAGCTGAACTAATTTGTCATTTCTTGTGAGCAAAAAATTTCTGGTTAAGCCAAAATTACTAAGATTGCGATTGATGAGATGATTTGTTGCATATAAATCTAAGTTCAAGCACATTACTAGCCAAATGCGAAATGGGCTTCGATTTCAGACCGATCGTGACACGCCTTCTCTTTTCCGCTATATTTTGCAGTGTGTAATCACAATATGTGCACTCCTCAGTTAACCCACAAAGGAATTATGTTAAGTCGGCGTGGTCGTTCGAGAAAGCTGTAGCTGCTGATTCTCGGAGAAAACTGTGATGTCAAGTTTTGACCGAAATCTCAATGTGATTCAATTAATTCAAGGTACTACCAACTACAAATGAACCCACTGGATGAATAAGGTGATAAGTATCTTGTTCTTTATGACAATGCAATAGTTCTCGATCTCCCAAAATGTCTATTTATTGCGTTTCGTACAAAACCTTGACATATGATACTGTTAAAAAATGACATTTGGATAGCCTGAGAAGCATTGTGCAATAATTAAATCGCTCGTGCGGCAGCTGGAAAAACAATACGTTGCATACTCAGTCTCACTACTTCAGATTCTTAGATTCCGCTGAAAGTTCACCAACTGAAGATAATCGACTTTTGCAAAGAAAGTTTTTGGGAGTGTATGGTAAACGACTTCCATGGTTTGGCCTCCCTTAAAACGTTTATCTAATTTATTACGGATATTTATCTTATACTGTTCCATAAATAAAAGTGACGTTCCCATTATGTGGCTAAAGCTGCAGTCATGTAACGAAGGGATTGACCTTTGTTAGAGAGCATATTTATAGGCATATCTACCACAACCCCAAACTAATTACCTTAGAAGAAACGGATATTTCGTGGTTGAATTGTACGGCAAAGATTCAGCAAAACTTTTGAAGTTTCGGAATACTGGGTATGCAAATTTTTCAACTCTCGAAAACGAGCGATTCAATTCACTCACGTGTTTTATGCAATCGTTTGTGGGTAACGCAAAAAAAAAGATTGCTATCTCGAGAGATCGAAAACTACTTCGTTATGGAGAACAATACTTACCAATACACCGCTCATCCAGCCGGGTTCATTCAAGCTGGGTGGGCTATGCCACGTCGAGAATTCGGTCAAAAACTATCTTCATAACTTGCCTCCAAAAATTGTTCAGTAGGTACAGAACATAGGTATGAGATTACTGTTACAACAAAGTTAATTAGTATACATCTTATCTTGAACGGACATCAACCTAACATCATTCTTTGGATTGCCAGGACATGGACAAATGCCGGACACAAACTTCTCCACTGTTTTTTAAGCCTAAAGCCATCCTACGTTTTGGTCAGGCGAAAAGTGCCAGATGCTGAAAAAACGTCATGTAGGTTTTTAAGATACAAAAAGAGGAAGTACACGATATACTCGCTGGAATTCGCCGCTAAAATCCTGTACCTCCTCTTTTTGTGAACTGCACATCAGAATAAATCCTTGGGCGCTCGACTTGGGAAGTTAGACCAACTTATGGTTGACTAGAAGACATCGTACCACTTGTAGTGGTATAATAAGGTTACTGCTCCTACATCAACAGGGTAGATTTTGGCGTTGGATTCTTGAGTGCACCCAGATCCTTGCAAACGTACCCGGAGTGGAGGGAAGGAGTCCAAGCAAACTGCATGCAACTGGTTGCTGTCAGCCATGGTGATAGAAGCAAAGTCATAAAAATTACGAACTTTGAAAGCCGCTGTCAATCTTGAAAAAACATGTAATATATTGTTATTATGAAAAAGAGATGAATTCATAAAAACACCGTTTAATTCGCTCTGGAACAACTCTTTTAGCGCGATACTTCAGCAACTCGCTTGTCTCCACTGTTCTGCGCATCCCAATACTGCTGCCGACTTCCTTCTCAGCTTCATCAAGCACGATAACGACAGCGCGCAGCTCTGGCCACCAACTCTCAGGGAATACTTGCTTGAATTACAGTATACTATGATACAGTAATCATAATTGCCGCCCTTACTTTTGCTATGCAATCGTATCCTGATGG